CTATTCTTATTATATATGTGATTGCATCAACGTATGCCTATAGAAATTACTAACTATAATAGTAATTAGCTTCGCACGGCAACGTATACGAGTCGAAAGGAAATGTACATAAAATGAATTTTATAAAAACTTTGCTTACCTAAAGGTTCAATATTTTTTCGATTCAATTAATATATACATTATGTATAGTTTAAACGGGGTTGTAATAATCATTTTATGATGTGTACTCTGTTTTTTTCTTGAATATATATGTACATATATATGTATACATTAATTTACATACACCTTTTAAGGATCATACTTACGTTGTACTGCGGTTAACAGTACAAGGAACGCATGAATATCTGAAAATTTTCATAAACGTATTTTCATTTATTTTTTAAAGCAATCAACACGCACGCAACTGCTGTCAATCGTTTTACTGTGACGGGCATGCCATTTTGCTTTTGTGGTTTCTTCTTCTTTTTCGTTTTTTTTTTTTTTTTTTCAATAGTCATTCTTGTTGTCCGCCGCTCGTATGTGCTGATGATGATGAATGTCTTCTCCTGATCTCATATATATATATATATAACTTTTGCATATTACTTAACTATGCATGCACATACAATATCGCTATGTTACGTAAGTATACATAGGTATGATTTTATTTTATTCAGATCAGAAATTACTTTTCAGTATATATAAAAGTATATATAGAGATTAAAAAAAGGAAAAAGCAGAAAGAAAAAAAATATATATGTATATATATAAGTTTTTTACAGCATCTGCTCTTTGCTTCAAAGTCGTAACAAAGTTGGATAGATTTACACTAAACTTATAATCGATATAAACATCTGTCTATTCACATAGTTTACTCTGAGAAGTTTTCATTTTAAAATCTATTTGAGTTTGAGGATATTTAGCTGTATTGAGCTCAGTTGCTGAACATCACAAAGCAAGCTTCTTAATACATTATTTTGGAAATATATAAAAGAATTTAATTTAATTGTTAATTAACTTACCGTGCAGAGCATGCGGGGAGCGTTTGCTTGATAATATAGCCATCGGCTTGAAGAAACATAATCAATATGCTATCAGTCGGTCTTAGGAATGCATACGATATATTGATATTTCGCTGCACTTGTATCTATAATTGAAAAATTGTTCCATAATAGACTGTCTTTCAGACAATATTGATTGCAAATCACACATATAATGCACATAAATTCTTTAAAATGATATTAAGTGAGTTAAGGAGATTATGATGATATTCGATTTCGAATCTAGATTTAACGACTTTACCTTACGCGTATATAAACTTTAACAATAGGCGGATTTATAAAGGATAAGATAAAATTCGTTTCGAATTCAAAACAAAATCCGAATAGAAAATGGTCTGTCTATTTACGTGTTCATATTCTATTATTTTTTTTTTTTTTTTTTTTTGTTTTTTCATTTTATTGCATACATCATGACAAATCCTCTTATTATAAAAAAATTTCATATAAAATATTACGAATATTTGCATTAGCTTTTGTGCGTGCAATGGTTTATTAAAAATGCAATTAACATTTCATATTTCCTTCCTCACCTCAACCTGTTTCAATTAATTGATGAAGAAATTCATGACATTTTACGTGTGCATATATATGTATATGTATGTATTTATATGTAAATCGGAAAATGACACAAAACAATAACAATCTGCAACCTTTGTAGTCACATCATTGCCATAACTGGACAGCAGATTTTATTTCGTTTACGTTTTTTCCTTTTTTTTTTTTTTTGTCCTCATAAATAAACCCTGTTTTGTTTTTCAATCCAAAAAGAAAAAAAAAAAAAAAAAAAAAAGAAAATGCAAAAATGCAAAAAGAACATTTATTTTAAATCCAGGTCAGGGACAATATTGTCAAAATCATTGTGTAGCAGTGTTGACGGAAATGTGGATCACAAAACAAGATTATCTTGCTACGTTCATACAGTTAACTGTAAATGTATGCAAACTGTATATAAATATGTAAGTGTATGTTTAAGCGTACTACAGTACACTTGCAGTTGTTTATACGATTATATATGCATGTGACTGTGTAAGTATGATGCATATCTGTATATACATAAATCATATCTATATATATATATATATATATATATATATATATATATATATATACATATATGTATATATGTTTATGTTTTCATATGGGCTTACATGTGTTGATGTGTGTTCATTTATATTTATGTTTGTGTATTAGCATATGTATGTCTGTATGTGTATATGCGGTTGACCATATTTTCCTTGTTTGATTTCCTAGATTGATCTAAACATTGCTTTGATATCCTGATAGAAAGCTATGATTAATTAAGTTATACACCTGATAAGCTCACTTGGTTCCGAATGCTTCGTATACACCACTATACACTGTATGCAAGACTATATATTTCATTCATATACATATTTGTTCACTGAGCAGGAGAACTTAGTTTTTCATTCCGGTTGTGTCTTACCCTCAACAACACTTAAGTAGGAGAGATGATTTAAGTTCTCTTCAACGCAAAAACTACACGCGGCCCCACCACTCAGTAAATAACCTAAATCAAAGTAAAAGAAAGAAAACAAGATTGCAACGAAGATTCCTAAACAAAAGCATGTGTTCAGCTCCTCAGTAATGGAATTGAAACAAACACAACACATGCGAGTATAAACTGTTCCAATCATTTATGCGCATGTGCGTGAATATTCGCCTCAAATTACTGAGATATAGGCAAACTTTGTCACAAAAACAACAACAACAACAACAACAACATAAAAGATACTCTCACTAACCCTGATTGCTGTTATCAAAAATCCAAAATAAGTTCTATTTAACAGTACCTTCACTCTGCTCTGGATATACAATATATATATATATATAATAGAACTTTTCGTACAAATGCAGTTAAAAAACAAAAAAAAAAAAAAAGTCAACTAAACGGATTTTATTTAATCAAAACTTTTTATTTATTTTTAGTAAAAAAAGAAAAAAAAGGTAATTTTCCTTCAAAAAAACTTTTCTATAATCCGATATGAAAGTATATAATATTCGAGTTGATTCTGGCCCGTAAAACGTATACATTACGGGTTTGTGATAATGCGTTTGTAACTAGAGTTGCCATAAGTCTTTCTATTTCACTTTAGTGTTTTCAGAATTCATAGTTTATTCTTATTTTTTTCTGAATTTCAATGCATTTAATAATTATTTTTAACGAATATCCTAAATTCTTCCCATGTGTATGGGTTCAATTTCAAAGAAAATCGGAATTCAAGAATCGTTTTAGTACATAAGGTAGTTATGCAAATTATTCAAATCAGGTCAGAATGAGGGGCAACGAAAATTTAAGCATAGTTTTGCAAATGTATACCCAATGGACGCATGGACAGACATCTAAACATGGATAGGTTTATGCATTCGATTCTATTTCATGAGGTATTGTGATACATATTTTGATCTTTGAAAGATTTAATTTGATATTTCCAGTGTTTCCTAAACATGATTTTCATTTTTTAATTTTCTTTCTTTAAGAATTTGCAGTTTCTTTAACTGCAACTTTGTCGCCGTATACCTTGCAAGGCAAACTTACGTCCAATAGGACGCCTGGCAAGGCGTAATTTGACAATTTTGAGAATGATTGAATCAACACACAAAGAAAGAAAGAGAAGTGAAGAAAAAATAATTAGTAGAAGGGTTTGTTTTTTGCGTTTTATAGCAATTGCTGTATACCCAGAAGTGAAGACGTGTTTAAAAGACCAGCATTTGTTTTGGTCCAAATAACTGGGAGAATAAACATAAAAATTTATTCGTTTTTTTTTTTTTCTCATTCAATCTAACCTAAGAAAATTAAAAGTTCTAAAAGAAAAGTTGTATATGCTATCATATCGCATTCGCAACTGTACCAAGTTAATCCGACTTACATTGTGCATTCGTAACTTATTTCTCTTTGAATGGGATAATGGGAGACCGTTGATCAAATATGTTTAAAAGATAATCAATGTTAGAATAGTCGCAAGATTCGAAGGATATAGTGTCTCAAGTGACTAAAAACTCCGTGTAGTATTTCTCAATTGTCGGAAGCGGCGATTTTGAAAACTGTATCACATTTAATTGTATTACATTTTTATGGCAATCCAGGCAATGTGACTGTTACTCTTTCTCTTCTTTCTCTTTCTCTTTCTCTTTCTCTTTTTCTTGTGTTTTGTTTTTTTCAGCACTGAAACATCGAATGAGCGAAACATTAACTATGCAAACTGTTAAACTATGTACAGATATGAGCGTAACAACTTAACGTACAATTACAATTTAGTTCTAATGATAAGGATATAAATTTGCACAGAGTAACGTTTGCATTATAGTGGCGAATACTGCTGTTGTATATAAAGCATATACATCTGCCGTGCTCTATCAATCGTATGCGAACAGATATTAAGAGCAAATGAGAGAATGAAAGAGAGAAAGCTTACATACGGCTTGTGTCGAATTTTCAACACCCATTACGTACTAATTATGGTATTTCGATGTATGTAAATTCAATATATCAATTGAAAAATTATTCAAATTTATTTTAAAAAACTTTAAAATTTTCCTTCACTGTTATTTATTTCTAGGTTAATAATAATAATAATAATGTCTTAAGTGCAGGCGTCGATTTTTCTTCTTCGAATTGTACAAAAAAGTAGAAAAGATTCGATTTTGTAAACCTTTTTCTTCTTCTTCCATTTCTTCTTTTGTGGGACCATTGGGACTATTATTGGGACCAATTTTAAAAGTCTAATGGTTTTACTATTCAAAATTAATTCAATAGAATCGCTCGGCGTTACGCTTAAGTCTATAGATCGTTATAGCATATGATTTCAAATTGAGGAACATCATCATATCTTATGTACTTTCACGCATTACACAAAAAGTTTGACGAAGCTAATATGCTTTTTAATGCTCTTTTTTTTCCTTTTTTTTTTTTTTTTTGCATATATATAGTTGGGGGGAATCGATGAGAATGTGAAACGTTATTTGTTGAACTGAACAGAGGCATACTTGAAAGTACACCACAGCTCAGAAGATAGACACGGCTGCTATATACAGAGACAGAGGCACATACGAACACACGCGCGCGTATACAATACTGGAGGTGACCTAATCCAGGTACTGCAGAAAGTGAATTCAGTTACTTTCTTAGTTTCGCCTCGCATGGTATCTCAATCGGAAGCAGCTGACGTGCACGTACCACGGCGAACAGGTTGCAAGATTGTTTTGTTATTTTGCTTGTTTTTGCGTGCTTATCGTTACGTACGCGTGTGTATGCGATGTGCGCCTTTCAAATCTAAAAGTGTAAACGGGAAGCTCGATATTAGAGCAAAACAACGGCAAACAACGGCACAGCATCATCTGCTAAGAGAATATTGTAACTCATAAATGCTTAAGCATTTCCCTTCGCTTATACCGCAAACAAACTTGAACTAATATAATAAAAACTCACCCAAAACAAAAGACCACAAATATCGTCTCGATGTTATGCACATTTTAAACATTCGTCGTTACTTTTTTTTACCCCATTTTTGGATACTTCCGTTTATTTGGAATTTTTTTTTTTTTTTGATTTGATTTTTGTTTTCTTTTGATATATATATATATATATATATATATATATATATATAAATATTATTATTATTATTTTTATTTTTTATTTATTTTTTTTTTTTGTTAAGGGCGGGAAGAAAGGAGAAATTAAATTATCTGCCTCTTGCTATTATCAGTGTGTTCTCGTTATTCATGTGTAACTTAAACGGAAGGTAAAGCCAAAATACGCCAACGACCTAACCTAAGCGAACGAGTGAACTGGAGAATGAATGAATCATGTGAGAATGTAAATAATCAATACGATGTGAATGCAGTTTTTTGTTCTGTTTTCAGCTTTTGCTGAAACTCTCGTCCATATTTCTAATGAATGCAAGCAAGCAAGCAAGCGGCGAGAGCAAAGCGGAATGCATGCACGCATAAAATACTTGCGGTATAGTGCAATAAAATTAAAAGATAAAGCAAATTAAAAAGCAGCTCGCACGTACGTGCGCTACGTAAATATGTACGTACGCGTACGTATCCATACATACATTTGTGGGTGTATGAGTAAGATGTATTTGTTGTTGTAAAAAGAAAATCAAATAAATCTATAGTGTCAGTCATTTTCTTGCCAATTGTACGCGTACGTATGTATGTATGTATGTGTGTGTGTGTGTGTGTGTGTGTGTGTGTGTGTTTGTGCATATGTTTGTTTGCTTGTATATATTTGTATGCATACGTATATGGATGGATTTTTGTATAAGGGTTTGCATTTTAAGTCCACTGCATTACGTTACTCCGGTGGATATTTGTGGTTGTTGTTGTTGTTGTTGTTCTGCTATTTCCTATGCCATTATTTGAAGTCTTACTGTTCCTGTCGTTACTACTACTAACACTGCTGATAATATCTCAAAACGTTGCGGTATATAAAATTTTCTAATTTTCGGTACATTCCTCTGTTTATGTTTACATTTGCACCCACTCGCCAACCCCTCTACTCAATCATTCACTAACTCAGTCATACGCTTACACACACATACACATATAGCCGAGGTACGGACAATGAATATATCTGTGCAGACAAACTCATACACGCAAATAGCACACACATGCTAATTCACCTTGGGGTGTAATTTATGGGGATAATGTTGTTGTAATTGCTTAGAATAGCTTTGCCAAATAAAATAATTGTAAATAGTGAGCAATAAAAGTGTTTTGTCGGGCTTTCCATGTGCACTCGTGCAGTTTATGCTCCGGTCTGCGCTAACAACAATTGTGCCGACATTCTCTAAAACTCTAAACAATAGCGTAACAATAAAAGACAAAAATCGTAATTGCAAGTGTTGTTGTTGTCGTTATTATTATTATTTTTATTATTGTTATCATCGTTGTCGTCGTTGTCGTCGTTGTCGTCGTCGTTGTTGTTGTTATTGTTACTATTATTATTATTATTGTTGTTGTTGTTGTTATGACTGTTATTATTGTTCCACTACTTAATAGTGTTCGAGTGCAAAGGGAAAAAATATCTGTAACTGTGCCTCCGTCAGTTCGCTTTCTGCCCGTAAATGCCATTTGCGTATAAATATGCACATAATAATGCACGCACATGTTTACATACCGCCGAGTAGAAAGCGAACGAAAGTAAGTATTCATAGGCTATAAGTCTAACCGTACGTTACAGCATCTTCGCATATACAATAAATCTGGATTACATTACCACACCACCATCACCAACACCACCACCACCACCACCACCACCACCACCACTGCCACTTTTGGGAATATAAATATTTCACATTTTAAGGTAAGTTTACACTCTGTCATGTAAATGGAAGTCATGAGTCATGACGGACAACAGGCTAAACGCATGCTACAAATATAAATATATATATATATGCATATATATGTATGTATGCATGCATATATGTGTATG